GCCCGAGCGCATGGTTGTCCCTATTCTCTTAATGAGTAATGGGTGTTTTTTGGGCGTAACGTGCAATTAACCAATCAGAGTCTCATCTCCCATCCCCTTTAAAAGCCAGTTGCGCTCGCGCTATGGCGGGTTCGGTATTTACATGGCGGAATGTAATTTTTCATTTTTAAAAATATTTGTGTGCTGCTGCATGTCCCTGTGTGTGTAATAAGCAAAGTGTACGTGCGTTGTGCACCCGCCTATAGGCGCATATTACTAACGCGCTCTTTAAATAACAAAGAAAAAATATTGCGCCAGACTTTAGACCAGGTTTGAGTTGGGCTATGGCCCAGTCTATTTTCAGTTCCTAAAAATAGCAACGCGCCAACAATGCCACTGAACACACCTCTTTTTTAGACCAAATAATTTTGCCACCCAACCCTCAGGTGACGATGTGAGTGCAATTCATAATTTTAATAAACCATGTGTTGCTGTGAAACAACTAGCTATCAAGTCAGTAGAGGGGTGGATTCCTTAACAAACGACATTTCCTAAAGTAAAAATAAAATATCTATCTATCTATCTATCCATCTATCTATCTAATCTATTTGTACATGTTCAGGACTTTTCTAAGTTTAGAGTTGGTCACTGTGCTCAGGTATTCTCTTCTTCGATTCTCTCTTAGGGCCAAATACTGTAGCATTCCTGTTTACTTTGTTGGGCTGTTGCATCTGCCCAATATTTTAGGTGTTTTTCTTTTTGTTTTAATTATTTGGTTTGGTCTGTCTAAGTTTTTATTGTGCAGTAAGCTCTAAGACCAATTGGCCGAGGGCGTTTCTTTCTGGCGTCAGCTCCTGATTTTTTAGGGCTTTGTGGTGGAGGGTCTGTTTATCACTATTTATTAGATGGCCATGGAATTTAATGGCCGTTTTTTAAGTGTGATTATGAGAGGGTATAATCCTAATCCTGCTTTGCAGGCATAACTTTGGGTTCTGCGCTGTATTCGAAGCAAATTTTTGTTTGGTCTGCAGAGTCTCTGTTGGGTGTTTATCCCATTTAGTAAGCTCTTGGTTTGTGAGTGGGCCCCAGACTTCACACCCGTAGAGCGCGATGGGTTCTATTAAGGATTGGATTATTTTTTAGCCAGATTTTGATAGGGATGTCAATTTTGATATTTCTCTTAATAGCATAAAAAGCTGTCTGTGTTTTGTCTCTCAGGTCATTCACAGCTTTGTTGAAGTTTCCTGTGTTGCTGATAATTACAGTATGTCAGTGTAAGTGAAGTTCTGTGTGTGTTCAAGGAGCATGTTGTCTAATTTAAAGCTTAGATTTGGTCTTGGTGGCTGGCTTTTCTTCTGAATATCATTATTTTTGTCTTTTTGGGGTCAACTGACAGGGCCCATGTCTGACAGAAGTTGTGCAGGAGGTCTAGATGCTGCTGCAGACCCTCTTTATTGGGTGACGGCAGCACCAGATCATCAGAAGGCATTTGATCTCAGTGTCTAGTAGAGTGAGACCAGGTGCTGCAGACTCATCTAGAGCAGTGTTTCTAAACTGGTGGGTTTGTATATGTTTAAATGACTGTGGTGGCTCATACCAACTTAACTGTATTAACAAAAACAAGTTTGGGGCTGCTATTTAATAGCCTTACCTTATAGGCTGTTTATTCAGTATTAGTCATATTCTTAACAGTCTTAACTTAATTTTTGTGAAATAAATTTGCTTTGTTTTGGTTTTTAACAAATATATATATATATATATACACACACACACAACCGGTCAAAAGTTTGGGATCAGTAAGACGCGGCTTGATGACCATGGGAAAACGTGGGTCCCAAGGCCAAACCAGTAGAGAACCACTGATCTGCCTTTGCTAACTCATGTATGTATATATTGAACAGCATGGGACTTAAGCTGCAGCCCTGTGTCACTCCACGACTCTGGGGGAGGAACTCTGTGTGTTTCCAATTTTAACTGCAAATTTGTTGTTTGTGTACATTGATTTATTTATGTCATATGATTTTCCTCTGATGCTGCACTGAATTAATTGAAGTAAAATACCTTTGTGCCAAATTGAGTCAAAAGTTCAACAAAGCATGAGAAAAATTTTACTTTTTTTTTATTTTTTTTTATCTATCTATCTATCTATCTATCTATCTATCTATCTATCTATCTATCTATCTATCTATCATCATCTCTATGTCATAAAATAAAACTACAACCAAAAATCCATTGGAAATTCCCTGGGAACCAATGGCTTAAAAATAATAATTCACTTCCAGGTAAATTTGAGGACTGAAAACTGATATTAATATAATATTCAAAAAATATTGGGGCACCATGATCAGATTTAGCAAGCTTACATTTTGTGTTCATCTTTTACATTTGCCATCTTGAGTTCTAAAAATTAATATTACTGTGTTTTCCATCAACATGCAAGAACAAATAACCAAGTATCTGTCTATCTATCTGTCCATCCATCCATCCATCCATCTTTCAACGCTGATTGCAGCTTTAATTGGTTTTGATTTTAGTGTGTTGCTTGGAATTTGTTAATTGTATTGTAAACAAATCAACAGTCTATTTCATTAAAATAATAATAAAAACGTGTAATGTTTAATCAAAATGCCATAACTTTCTATACAAGAGTTTCTGTAAAGCTCCCTGAAACAATGTGTAATGTAAATTAAGTAAGTATAAGTAAATATTAAAATATGATGTATAAGTAAATATTGCACTGTTAATTTGCATACGGTCATGTTGACTATCTTTTTTCTGGCCTCTCATTTTCTTCTTTTCAGCTCTGATTTTTTCCAACCTTATCTCTGCCTTGGGGTTTTTTTGTACGTTTCAACAGTACATTCCACTGTGTGCAGGTTTAACAGTAAAAATAAAGTGGGTGTTTGGTTTCATATGTGCTACACGTGTATGTACTTGTGTATACGCATGTGTGTGCATTCAGGCCTGCATAGGAATATGTCTAAATTGTACAAATTATTAATAGATTTATAAATGGATTCCAGTTGTAAACATTCTGTAAAACTTATTCAGCTACGTGAATTGACACTACAGATGGTTGAAATATTACTTAAAAATAGTTATTATTACTGAATATTTTTTATATGTTTCTAAATATGTGTTGAGACAATTCTATTGTATTGTTACTGGTTCTTGACAACCCCAGTTTTATTTTTCACAAAGCCCTGAATGTGATAAGATAAGTGGAAAATGTTCTATCCTCCATGACATCATGAGATAATTCTCATTGGCTGGAAGAGATGAGTCAATGATGACATGACTTTCATGAGATCATGCTTTAAATAACATTCTAAAACATTTTTTAGCATTCTATTTTGGGTTCATAGAAGTTGTAAAGTTTGCTAACTCATTTCAAGAGTGTTTAGTATTTACTTTTATTTATTTGATAGCGTAAACCAAACGAAAGCACAGAGTTTCCGGATTTTTGGCATCTTTTCCATTACTGATTTTTGCCTAACTCGACTTACCTGAAAATATTTTGCCAAAGGCGTTTTCTATTGTGCATTTACAAGTGAAATGACACCATCCGCTATTGTTTCGCTAATTAATCACTGAAAAACAGGCTGTCACACATATTGAATATACCTGAAAATACCTGTGTATACACCCTCATCCACCCACACACACAAACAAACAATATTATAGTCATAAAATTATAGATATCACAGTCATAATCATCACACGTGCAAAGTGGGTTTGTGCATGCATACAAACAAACTTGTGTGCGTGGAGTTTCGCTAGTTCCACTTCCACTTCCACGCCTCTAACTGCCAAAAAATAAATAAATTCACAGTTGTGTAGTATTGGTTTTGCATGTGTATGTGGAATAGAGAGAGAGAGGGAGATGTGGGAGGGTGAGAGAGTGAGAGTAGGCCTATTGGGGGCAAGTGTAATTCTGGTAAAGGTCTGGTAAATCTGAATGGTTTGCTTTATTATTCCGGGTAAAAGTGCGCTGGCGTCATCAGGTACGCGATATGTTATTGTTGCTGATGACTTGGAATAACTCCAGTATACAATTAACTTCAGCAATCAGTCTATAGGCTACATACACACCTTTGCGTGACTGACAAGTTCGGTGTACAATCTTAATGTCTTAATATGCTTTCACTATGGAGCAGTGTAATAATAATAAACCGTAATACACTAATGCACAAAAGTTTGAAGTGATTAAGATAAAAAAAAAACTTTTTTTCAGCAACGATGCATTAAATTCATCAAAAGTATCAGTAAAGATATCTGAAATGTTACAAAAGATTTCTGTTTTAAATAAATTATGTTCTTATAAATTTTATATTCATCAGAGAATCCTGAAAAAAGAAAACATTAAAAATATTGGAAAACATTTTTAGTTATTAATATTTGAGCATCAATAATAACTGAGCACCAAATCAGCATATCAGAATGATTTCTGAAGGCTCGTTGTGATACTGAAGACTGTGTCATAACAGGAATAAATTAGCCTACATTTTAAAATATATTGAAATAGAAAACACTTCTTTAAATTGTAATAATATTTAACAATATTACATTGTAATAATACGTTTGATCAAATAAATGCAGCCTTTGTGAGCATTAAAAAAAAGACTTATTTCAAAAACATTAAAAAAAAAATCCTAGCTATTTCATACTTTGACCATGAAATTATTTGAATATAATAGGGTATTTACAATGAGCCCTTTTGCCCCAGCATGCTTTATGCACCTTTTACCAACATGATCAAACATTTAACAATAAAAATGTATGATTTGTAAATTATGCAAGTAATTTTTCTTCACCCATTGTTATAGAACCAGCTTGTTAGATCTTTGAAACTCTGTAAGGCGTGTCTTGTCAGGAAGGGAAAGAGGGAGAGATAGACAGAGACAAACAGAGAAGGAAGGAAAGGGCGGAGAGGGAGAGGCAGGCAGGCACACACACCCAGCCCTTTCTCTCTTCTCTTCTGCCCCCTCCTGCCTCCGCTTGAGCGTATCCCCACCCTCACCTCCCGCGAGCGCCCGGCCCTAATCACGTGATAGACGCTCAATTCACTCAGGACACTTTAAACACTTGGACAAGAAGTTGTTTCGTAACTCTCGGGGAAGTTTTTTCAGCGTCAGCCTAAATGCTAAGTGTGTCATTTGGATGTTTCATGCCATCGTGATCCAGGTTGTTGCTGTCGTCTGCGGTCCTTCATATCGGCGCACTTTTCACTTGAGGAATATTTACTGACAAGTAAGTTACTGTATTCATGAAATATAGTCTGAGGTAAAATAAGCTAAATCAAACTGTCCTGTTGTAGTTAGGCTATTTTAGTCGAATAATAACATTTTAGTCAATCTTTTATTTAAATAAATAGGCTAAATAATATTTAATATATTTAATTTCACAATATATCTACGGCACTTTTCTATAGCTACTTTTGACAGATGTTTATGGGTAAATGTCAAATAAGGATGTCCGAGATTATAACAACAAGAAATCTTTTAAGAATCTAGTTTAACGTCAAGTTTTCAGAAATGTCATCTTTGTATTCATGTTTATGTCAAAAAAGGAAACAGATTTTTTTCATGCAAACATGAATTTAGTGAAGTGTTGTAAAAAGTTTCAAAATATTGAAAATACGTGATTGTACAAAGCTTAATCATATATATTCTATAAACGTTTTATAAACATTCACACATGCATTCGCTCTTTAATATTAATACGTTTTCTAGGGGTAACTTAATTTGAGCAGCATACCTTTTATACAAAAGGTTATTTATTTATTTTTTAACAATCCTTGGACAGTTACACCATACAATATCACAAAGTCATGGAAGGACGTCCTTCAAAGAAGAGGTGAATTCAATTCATTTACCATAATTGCATGAATTGCATTTTAATTGTATTTTTGAACAACTTTAATATAATGGGGACTGTCATTGACGTCTGTTTGTTTTGATTATTCTTAGTTTTATTAATATTGCACTTTTGGCACTTTTTTATTGTTGGCATGAAACTGGTACTGGCTCTGCTGTAGTTGTACAGATGGCTTGAATGAAACTTGAATATTGTATCAGCATTGACATGATTTCTAGTCTGTCACTCAGTTTATGACCAGTGCTAGAGCTTATATGCAAATATAATTTTTATGCAAATGAAACACACTGTAGGAACATGTGTGCAGGATCATGTTGGTATGTGCCTTTGGCTACGTTGGATTTTTTAACTAACTCTGAGTTCTGCAACACTTTATAATAAGTTTAAATGTTAACAGTATTGCATTAAAATGCTTGGCAGGTCTTCAGTTAATATACAATCAGAGAGTTAGAAATGTCATGACACCTTGATTCATATATTATACATAATGTGCATGAACTACTGATCTTATATGGTCACTTGGATTATTCATTAAAATGAATTAAAATCTGGCCAAATAGTACATGGCATACATAGTTTTTGTTGAACACACGTTCTAACAGGCAAAAATATAACTTAATATATTATTTAATATGGCTTCAAGCCCAATTCTTATATGCTTTTGCAGTAATTGGTTTGGTTTGTGATCAGCTTGGCCTGCATTTAGAATGTGTGTGGATTTTCAGCTTTTCAAAATCTGAACATCCCGCCTGTGCATTTTGGATTGTTTGAAGATTAGGTTTACTGTAAGTATGTGCATAGCGTTTTTGGTGTAAAAATCAAATACAGTAAAACTAATAGTCAAAGCCCCAGGGTCAGTAAGGCTGTTGTATTCTGAGCTTTGTTTCAAGGCTGAGGTTTGCGTCAGACATTCCATCTGGCACATGGAGCCTCTTTTCCTGTTTTCAGCATTTGAGGGGAGGCTGCCTAGGGGGAGCACACACACACACACATGCCTAGACCCTCCACCCACTCACACGACTCTTTCCTTGGATCAATACTCTGATCTTATCGCAATACACACAGAAACACTCCACTACAAAAGAGGATCATTTTCAGAGCCGCATACCATTGTTAAAATGCTCAGCCTCTCTCTCTCTCTTTCTCCATGTCTCTCTTTCTCTTTTTCTTTAGTTTCAGGAAAGGTCAGAAGGGAAACTATGGCCCCCCATGTAGCAGAGCTTCTCTATGTGTTCACTGTGGAAACAATAACAGACACGCTGCGGCCTTCTTGCTAAATTTGGTCTTCGGCCTAAATTTCAGTCTTTGTTCCTACCTTTCAGTCAGATAGAAGCCTATCTGTAAAGTTTTTCACATTGTGATCATCCCGTTCAATCTCAGATCTCATGCATCTCTCAGACACCTGGCACCTGGTTGAAGACCTGTTATCTGAGAGCGGTGGTTGTGTGCATTGAACCAGTGCTGTTCAGTTTGGTTTTTGGTTTTTACATGCATGGGTTTGCTATTAGATTCTGTACTTTGTAATTTTGGTCTTCACATTTTCTCCATGTCAGCAAACCGGACCATTTCTCTCCACTAGGAAACTGCATTAGAGCGTAACACTAGCATTCTGTGGTTTTGAGTGTGTGTATGCCTTAATGGATTTGCCTACTTCACCGGTCTGCAATGTTGAGTGAAGAGCTTGTGTAATTTATAAGGTATCCCACAAGTTCTTCAAACAGTCTCAACTACTCATTCACACCGCCTGAGGTTAAACACACACCACAGCATTCAAGAAAAATAATAAATAATGACCCTAAAACCTAAAGATACTTGTAAATATTAAACTTAGCCACACTATTTAAGAGCTTTAACCTTGTTAACATACAGTATAAAGCTGTTAATGTGTGATTCAAAAGATCTTTTAAAACATAAATTTTATTTCTGAATCTTTGTTTTCAGGTAATTATATATAACAGAGGTATGAGACAGAAGATAGAAACAGATTGAGTTAACTTACAAAGACTATAATTATAGTAAAATTAAGTATTTAAACACCTTACTTTAATTGCTCGAGAACGATAATTATTGGTATTTGATGTGTTATGAAGTCTTGTGCTAGTTGGCACTCCAGTCTCTCCATACTAAACACATCTAGTGACGCATGTACTAACTTCTCTTTATTTATGAGACTGTAAAGTTTAATTGATGGAGTTTTTGTGTGTGTGTGTGTGTGTGTGTGTGTGTGTGTGTGTGTGTGTGTGTGTATACAAAAGGTTATTTATTTATTTTTTAACAATCCTTGGACAGTTACACCATACAATATCACAAAGTCATGGAAGGACGTCCTTCAAAGAAGAGGTGAATTCAATTCATTTACCATAATTGCATGAATTGCATTTTAATTGTATTTTTGAACAACTTTAATATAATGGGGACTGTCATTGACGTCTGTTTGTTTTGATTATTCTTAGTTTTATTAATATTGCACTTTTGGCACTTTTTTATTGTTGGCATGAAACTGGTACTGGCTCTGCTGTAGTTGTACAGATGGCTTGAATGAAACTTGAATATTGTATCAGCATTGACATGATTTCTAGTCTGTCACTCAGTTTATGACCAGTGCTAGAGCTTATATGCAAATATAATTTTTATGCAAATGAAACACACTGTAGGAACATGTGTGCAGGATCATGTTGGTATGTGCCTTTGGCTACGTTGGATTTTTTAACTAACTCTGAGTTCTGCAACACTTTATAATAAGTTTAAATGTTAACAGTATTGCATTAAAATGCTTGGCAGGTCTTCAGTTAATATACAATCAGAGAGTTAGAAATGTCATGACACCTTGATTCATATATTATACATAATGTGCATGAACTACTGATCTTATATGGTCACTTGGATTATTCATTAAAATGTATGTGACAGATTTGAACTCTTCTCTCTAGTTCACCTTATCATATTGTCTTATGATAGAGAAGAGAAAAACATGACAAAATCCAAATAGAAAAATTCAAAACAGTGTTTACTTTTCCTTACTGAGGTCTGTCCGTGTGCAACAACTCTGATGGCGATATATAAAAAATGTATGTCTCTTATTTGGAAAAGGACTGTTTGTTTGACTAAGATTTCCTAAGAAGGAGCTTAGCAGACTTTGATGCTACTGGAGACAAGTTAAAAAGAAAAGCTGTGCTTTGTAAGTATACAAAACACATTATACACTACTGTTTAAAAGTCAGGGGTCAGTTTATTTTTTTCCAAGAAATTCATACTTTTATTCAGCAAAAATGCATTAAATTGATCAAAAGTGACAGTAAAGACATCAAAGTATCTTGAAATAAATTTACCAGTTTCCACAAAAATATGAAGTAATATTAAGCAAAAATGTTCTCAACAATAATAATAAGTGTTTCTTGAGCACCAAATGAACATATTAGAATGATTTCTGATGGATCATATGACACTGAAGACTGGCGTAATGACTGCTAAAAGATTCATCTTTGTCATCACAAGAATACATTTTATTTTAAAATGTATTAAAATAGAAAGCAGTTATTTTAAGTTATAATATTTCACAATATTACTGTTTTACTATATAAAATAAATGCAGCTTTGATGAGCATAAGAAACATCAAAATAAAAATAAACAAATCTTACTGACCCACAACTGTGATGTAGATATAGACCTTTCTTACAAGAGCCTGACTAACAAATACAACCCTTATTTTCATCATAATATTAAATAGGGTTCAGCTCATGCAGTTTTCTAAATGTGAGGTTAGTTCAACCAATAATAACAATTCTGTAATTATTTACTCACCCTCATGCCATTCCAAACTTATGCAACTTTCGTTTTTGTTCTCCATGGAACACAAAATATGATCCATCCATCCATTTTTCAAAATGCTTGTCCTATGTGAGAGTTGCAGGTGTGGAATTCCGAATGAAATATGAAAGGACTATGATGCATTTTTGTCCCTTTTGTTGCTCGGTAGCTCACTTTCACTGTATGGAAAAGAACAGCCTGCACATTCTGCTAAACTTCTAATTTTGTGCTTAATGAAAAAGAAAGTCATACAGGCTTAACATGACGGTGAATAAATGATGGTAGAACTTTCATTATTGACTAAACTATTCATTTAAAACACTACAGACATTAAGTCAGAGTCTAGTTACAAAACCTTGCACTTAGTAAAGCATTCAAACTGAGGTCTTGAATGGTGTTTAACTCATCTGTTGTGACATGTCTTGTGTTTTGGTGTGCCTATTTATCTGTATGGAATTCTATACTGTTGGTTTCAGGTTTGGATGAGTATGTCTGTGTTTGTGTGTACACTTCAATATGTTGTTTTGTTAACCCACACCTGACCCTGGGGCCAATGGGAGTGATTTTCCTGTGTGTGTGATCGGCATTGTCTCTTGTGATAGTCGTCCTGTTTATATATGTGCGTCTGAGGACTGAGGAGTGTTAAATTTGCTGGGAGTGGACCTGGACTCAGTGGACCTAGTATAGATTGTTCTTTGTGTGTGTGTGTGTGTGTTAACAGCACCACCCTGGGTTAATGATTGTACAAAGAGACTTTACATTCACCCCTCTCTTTCTCTCTTTCTTTCTCTGTCTCTCAGACTTTGGACTGTAAAAGCACTCACATATCATTGCGTCTCATGGCTCACTGATGAAGTGTCCTACATCCCATTCCTGCCTTGAGTCCATGCACTCCACTGAATTCTAATGAAAATAAAGTCCTAGGTCATTTTTACTTTAAATTACCTTTTGGAAATAGAAATCGATCAGCACCTATAGCACCTGTAGTACTGTACCTATAGACTGTAGCACCTGCATCTTTGTGTCAGGCTTTGTGGGCTCAAACAAAACACACAGACAGATCAAACAGCAAAACATATTTGTCTCTTTTGTGTTCGTAAGACCGCATGATCATATCTAAGATATCTGATGAGCTGGTACTGCTGTAGACCTTTCATCTTTGGCTTTAAGCTTCCTTTGTGCATTGTAGACATGTTAGCTGTGTTATTCTTCTACTATTGACACTTTTTGACTTTTACAAAATATACTCTCTTATAATACCTTTTTCACACTCTTGCTAGTTTTTTAAATTTGTCCACTCACAGTATCAAACAACACAAGCATCACAGTTTTGACATTTTTCTGATGTAAACATTTCTGTCACATCTAAAATGATGTATTGTGGCTTAATAGCATGCTGTGGCGGATATTTATTTGTTGAATCTTTTTTGTTAATGTCATGCTTTGAATACTTTCACTTTGAATTGTAGTTGAAATTTATGATCTGACAGTTATAAGTTGTGCGAAATGATTTATTTTATTTGACTCATTTGTAAAATTGATATATTTTCACAAAATAAAATTGCGTTGAACTCTTTAGTCAGGATATCATAGTTTACAATACTTTATATTAATTATATACAATTAAAATAGTATTTATTTATAAACACAACCGTTCAAAATTTTTAAGAAATCAATAATTTTATTCAACGAGGACACATTCAGTTGAGCAAAAGGGACAGTAAAGATATATATATTATCTTATAAAAATTTTAAATATATTAAAATGTTTATTTTTATATTTTATATTAAATTGTTTTTTTTGCTGTATTTTGGATCAAATACAGGCAGCCTTGGTATAAGCATAAGAGATTTCTTTCAAAAACCTAACCAACCGAACAAACAAACAAACAAACAAATAAATAAATATATAAATAAATAAGAAAGAAAGAAATACATTTTAAGTTTTAATGTAACCATAATTTACCATTTAACACAAAGGAGGAATGTTATCAGTTATGTAATAAAAAAAACAGCTGAGACAAAAAGCCCCTGTTGAAGTAACTCCCTAAGATCAGGGAATGAATCATTATCTACGGTTGAAATAGTAGCATTTAGTTGCAATACTATAATGTGGCCTTTCTGTTTCCCAAGACCACTGGGTAAGTGGGTCAGGTGGAAAAAGCTCTCTAATAGTATTGCAATCTTATGTACAGCCACACACAAACAGCGTTCATCGCCCTGGGCATTCTAACCTCCCCTGTACTTTAAGTGATTAGTGTTTCAGCACCTCTGAAGCATCAGCATGCTTCTCTGCTTCTGTGTGCTTGGAATGAAGAATGACTTCCTGATGGCTCACGACATGTCTCTAATGCGGGACTTATCTGTTACTAACTGATATACTAATGTTTGTTCTCTGTATTTCCCAGAATTCCAGCGGCAGCAGCCATGCTCAGGTGTGACCCAATAAAGCCAGACATGGTGAGTACAGTTTTTAGGGTAAATACTCTCAAATAAATTAGTTGTAAAGAAAAGGTTGGTATGATGGGAGGTGTTGCAGAGATCCCTTCTACACTGCAAAAAAAATATTTGTTGAAGTTTCAAAGTTTTATAAGAAAATACTTGTTTCAGTCTTTCTACTACTATCTTTCTATTGTTTTTACATCATATTTTTTTAGTGTACAGACATTAGTCAGGGTAGTGCCATATTTAATTTTTGACAGGAATGAAAACGAGGCTGTGAGGGATAGTACAGTGCTTTCATTGGATTGTACTGTTGTATAACAACAAACCAATTGTTCAGCTGACGAAATGTCTTTCTGAAAAAAAAACACTTAGTAGACAAAACTCCATAGAACAGTTTTGAAGTGAGTTGACACGATCTAGAACCTTTATAAAGTGCGTGACATTGTGTCCCTCACAGCCTTGTTAAATTCAATATGGCGTGTAACCTGATTAAAGCCAAAAGAAGTTGTTTTGGACTAATCTGAAATGTTCCTCCACCTTCCTGATACTTGTCTAGTTCTTTGCATCAGGTTTATGTGATTTTAAAGAAAACAATGCTTCACTTTCCGTTTCCAATAACAAACCTGCCTTACCAACTAACACACAATGGCCATCTGAGCACCCTGGTCTTATTGGGACATCGGTTTGTTTGTTTAAGTGCAGTATCCATGTGCAATCTTTCAATTCTTTATAATAACACAAGACACATTTATAGAGACTAATAAGGATATTTTTGAATCGCACGAGTATATTATTAGGCTCTTACAAAATCTATCTCTAAAACTCATCTTGTACTTGCTCTTTTTTCTCTCTTCCTCTAGCTGTAGATGGACATGCATTCCTTTCTTATTAGGTTAGGAGTTTATATGGGGTGGGAAGTCGAATTTGGCTCATACTCAGTCGTTCAAAGTTAGTCTTTTTGTCGGTTTATTGTCCCCAGACTCAACTGCTGCTCAGAGCAGCTGCTTTATAAGAGTGCTTGTGCAATTATGTACATGTGAATGTGTAAATATGCTAGCAAGTTCACAGTGTGTTTAACGTCTCTCTCTCTTTCTCTCTCAGTCATTGACTTACCCAGCTTACCTGATTAAACCTGCTCCTGAGGCATTTGGAGTCGTATTATCTCCTTCCATGGTCCCTACTTCCACATCTCACCTATACTCCCCTCACTACTACCAAGAACCCTACTCCTACATGAGCCCCCATCACACACACCCTCTGTCCCAGGATGTCCATCACTCCCAGAACGAACCTGTCGATTTATCCGTCAGCAAAAGATCCTCCGTTTCATCGCCTTCATCATCTCTGGCATCGTCATCTCCCAGAGCCACTCCACCATCGCCTTATGAGATCTCCAGTCCGGTGTCACGTCCTCGCCCCGGCTCCGGCTCAGGCTCTATAACAGGAAGCACTTTCGGGTCATCTCAGACAAGGCAGCTGACCCCACCACTTGGCCTTCCTATTCCTTCGGTAAGAATAGTGGTGATGCCTTACAAAAAATGTACTGTGGTGATACCATGGTACTGACTGATTACCATTTTCCAATTCAATGGTGTTTACATGGTAATCCAGTGTACATGGGCAGAAAACATGGTGTTTATTTCTAGTCTTATTAGTTAGGTCACATACTGTATGACCCTTTTTATGCACAGTCACTTCAGTACACGTCTTTTATTATAAGCTTATTTTTCATTTCTGATTTAAATAGATTTTATTATTGTTATTATTGTTATTAAATATTTTAATGACAGTGCTTTACTGCTTATTAAAGCAGCACTATGTAACTTTTGGCGCTCTAGCGGTTAATAAACAGAACTGCACACATCCCGTGGAAGAACATTCCAACCGGAGCGCAGCGGTGACGACCCAACCAGGCTACAATAGTCCAAATATACGTACTTATTATAAGTGTTTTCCGTAGTGATTCGGAATAAGACAAAAACGCGGTTTGGAAGATGAATTCATGATGTACTCGCTCATTATATACATTTGGCAAATTTTTTACACAGAAAAAGTTACATAGTGCTGCTTTAATACTTGAAAAACATTTGTTCATCAAATAAAGTTTTTTTTTTACTGTATGCTCACCAAGACTGCAAATATTTAATCAAAATACAGTAAAACACAGTAATATTATGAAATATTATTACAATTGAATTTTTTTGTATTTCAATATATTTTAAGAGTAATTTATTCCTATAATGGCAAAGTAGCTGTCAGTGTCACTTGATCCTTCAGAAATCATTTTAATATGCTGATTTGGTGCTCAAGAAACATTTCTTATTATTATGAATGTTGAAAACAGTTTTGTTGCTTAATATTATTAAAACTTAGAGACCAACTGACATGTCTTGTGTCGTAATCCATCTGTGTTTGTTTTTCTGATGCAGGTTTTGACACCTATTGTACCAGTGCTTTCTATGCTGCAGACGTTACCTGTGCTCTACCCTCCACTACACCTGTCTCCCTCCATCATGATTTCACCCGTCACACCTGAGGATCCTGCTAACCACAAGCAGTGTAAGCAGAATAACATTCTGTATCACACACAGGGATAACACTTTACAATAAAGGTACTAATACCTGAATTATATGGTGTTATTTTAATGACAAATGTCGGGAGCGCATTATTGTAGCGCGAAAGCACATAAATATAATACGCAAGCGCAAATCTCCCCGCACGCACGCGGATTTCCTTTGCTCTCGCTCAAGACCGGACACTTAAAACGTGTCTCTCCTGTAGCTCAAAGTGTGCGCGCTCAAACTGTGTCCTGTGCACTCGCAAATCTCTCTATGCTCATGCAGATATTAATTCTTATCACACCTGAATTAAATGTTGTCAAAAGTTATTATGCACTTTTAAAAAGTAGTCTCAAAACAGATTTGTTCAGGGCCTTTCCTTGATTTTTTAAAATTGTTTTACTAGGCCCACTTTATCTCTTTTATGTTTGTTTTTTGTTCTTTTCTGTGAATGCACATATGCATCTCTCTGTATAGTACTTTGTAAACACAGTTTTAAAAGGTGCTATATAATAAAGCTTTAACCAATCAGACCTCCACGACTGATCGATGAAAACGTGTGAAATCTAATTGGCTGGGAGGGAAGTGAACCCGTAATTCTTTTGACAATCAAAGATGGATCTTTAAATTCTTTCCAGTTTAATAATATTTAGCAATGTTAATGAAATGTAGCCTATAGAAATGGCCAGGAATTGGGTGCTTGGATGATTTGTACATATAACCTCTGTCCTGGTTGATCTCTGAGCAATTTATCAATAACAACATATAAAAACAACATATTATAGTCTATGGCTCTAAAGACTTCATATAAAAGATCAATGTTATGTCATCATATGTCAGATACCTCAACTGAATTTTAAAAAATTGCAATAAATTCTCAGTTGGTATGATGGCAATAGTAACAATTCCTATCAAATCAACATCAAATGCAAAAATAGACATAAATGATGCAAGATATAACACAATACATGTTCTGATAGAATCACTGTTTGGACATTTATTGGGAGTTTATTTTTTTTTAAAACTCTCCTCTAAAACAGTGAATATACCGTTATATGAAAGTTACATGTAATTACATTGTCTGTAAATGCATTAAACACAGAATATAATGTAGTGTATGACAAATATGAGAAATTCATTATAGTGTTATATTTGGTCTCCAAATCTTAAGTATCGGTTTAGGGAATATATATATATATATATATATATATAAAATCAATCCAAGTACACAATACATAGGCTATATGATCACAAGAACTTCATATGCTTTTTTGTCTGTGTTTAGATAAATCGTTCAGAGAGGTTTGACCAAACTGTTAAACTAGGTTATTTCCAAATCATCCAAGTACCCGATTGATATCTAATGTTTGATTATTATGACTAGTAGTATTAAATTGTAAAGAAATTACAGATCCATCTTTGAAATCTGATATTAAAAAAATTTAATTGTACATGCGTGCGGAGAGATTCGCGCTCGCGTATTATATTTATGTGCTTTCGCGCTACAATAATGCGCTCTCGACATTTGTCATTAAAATAACGCCATAGAATTAATACTTACTTCAACATGAACTCATGAATAGTGAATCAATCAAGTGTTATCCTTAACTACAGTACAACTGGAGTCATATGGATTCATGCATGAATAACGGCAGTAACTACCTGTTAGTATGTTTGATAGTTGCTTGATAGATGTTCGACACGCGTTCACGACAGTACCATGCATGCATCGTGGTACTGTTGTGAACGTGCACAGAAGTAAGAGATGAAATTGTTGAATAAAGTCATTATTTTGTTTTCTTTGCACACAAAAAGTATTCTCATAGCTTCATAAAATTAAGGTTGAACCACTGATGTCACATGGACTATTTTATGTCCTTGCTACCTTTCTCGGCTTTGAACGTGGTAGTTCCATTGCTGTCTATGAAAAGAGTCAGAAAGCTCTCGGATTTCATAAAAAATTTCTTAATTTTCTGTTCCGAAGATGAACGAAGGTCTTATAGGTTTAGAATGACATGATGGTGAGTAATTGATGACAGAATTTTCATTTTTAGGTGAACTATCCCTTTAAGGATGAGTTAGTAATGACGTGCATCTTGAAGTAAGATCATAACAATGATGCACTTGCAAATCATTATCTAAAATATTAATTATCATGCACTGAAAGTGCCATCCTTATGCAGAAATATGCATGAATCCATATTACTCCTGCACTCGATTAGCTAATCCTGAGTTCATGTTGAAGTAAGCATTAAATTATGTATTAGTACATGATTATTAATGTACCTTAATTGTAACGTATTATCCACACAGGCACATTATTCACATATGCATATTAAGCAAACAACACATTGCCAAACACATGCTCTCACTCTCTACCGATGAGTAGATGGGTGACAGTTGCAATAATATAGCCTTACATATTTTCTTTGCATGGTTGATTGATTTGTCTCCTTTCTCTTGTCTTCAGTCTCTATAATGAAGTCAGAGAATCCCCCAGACAATCATGAGCTCCTCAAGCCAATCAAATCCGAGCTCCACCCTGAACACGCTCAGGATTCCCACAGCCAGGAAATAACCTCACCCGTCATTACTGTCCCACCGAGTTATGGGTGAGTACTGAGCCCTCAAACACACGCATATGCTCAATTTGTTCTTCATTATCACCATTTATTTTATTTTGTATGAGCACAGCTAACACTTGTGCATGCAAGTTCATTAAAAAATGCTATCTTACAAATAAGAACAAGTTGGTTAAATGAGATGAGATTGTGTATTTGCATGTGACTGTGTGTTTCTTTGTGAGACAGGTCACAGCTTGTCACTTTAATGGGTTGTGTCGCATGTTTTTACATACTTTTTCTCACTGTACATCTGTTTGTAAAAAAAACCCTACTGGATTCCATATAGAAACCTGTAATTAGGCACAGAAACCAATGCTACTCATACTGTACACATAGTATCTATCTATCTATCTATCTATCTATCTATCTATCTATCTATCTATCTATCATCTGTCATTTAAAGTACATTTGGCCTACAGTTCTCTTTCAGTCAAACAAGTATATGTGTGTGTGTGTATGTATGTGTGGTGTAAAGCATATATTTCTGTATCTGATGTCTCTTGCTGCGTGTCTGATAAAATCCCCCAGCATGCATTTCAGAGACAGTGTGTCTCCAAGTATTTTCAAACCCTCATGGGGTAGGAACGTATCTGTGCTTGAGCGCATACAAGCGCATGGCTGAGAGTTTGTGTAGACATCTTATTTTGTGCGTGTTTTAGTGCACTTTTACAGTGGATGTGTGTGTGTGATGTATTCCAGTGGATTTGGTGTCATTGGCTATGGACATACTGTGTGACTAAAAGGAAAAAAAAGTGGTGAAATACAGAGAAAGGAGCAATGTTTATGAGGAAGGGAGGAGAAAGCGTTTGATTTAGAAAGGAAGGGAGGAGAAAAGTAGAATGATCATTTTATATTGGGTGCGGTGCCAAAAAACAGCTACTTTTAGGCACAAATGGTAGAAAGTGGGAGAATACGTGACATTGTAGACAAAGACTGAAAATATGTAGCTGAAACAGAAAGGGAGGGTAAGGTGTATGGAGGGGTTTAATGGTGAGATGAGAGAGAAAGAGAGAGAAGTATTTAATAATAGGGTGTATTTAGGCAGGAACTTACAGTAAAAGGTGTTCCTGTTCAGTAAATGCATGGGAGTTTTTTCAACTGGTTTATTGTCTGCAAGTCGGAAATTGTAAGTCCAGTCACTTAGAAAAGTGCCAGCCTTAACTCAACAAGCTGCACAATTAGATGTATTATTCATGTCCGTAGCACAAACGGTGCAGAATGAGTTGCCCACTTTAGTTCCTTGTGGTTAAGGCCTAAGTGTGAGCATAAGGATTTTTCCTTTTGCAAACAAGCACTGCTAATAAAAATCATAAATGAAGAATGGTACAGCACCAAAAAAGTGTACTGTAATTAAACAAAATCTAATGTGGAGCTAAGGTCATAAATACTTACAATACTCAGATAACTTAAAGGGGTCATATGATGCGATTTCAAGTTTTCCTTTCTCTTTGGAGTGTTACAAGCTGATTGTGCATCGATAAGATCCCTGAAGTTACAAAGACTAAAGTCTCAAAACCAAAGAGATATTCTTTATCAAAGTTAAGACTCTGCCACGCCCATCTTTAAAAAAGCATCATATGACCCCTTTAAAACAAAACAGTGTCATGCGCTGCTTTGAGGTAGATTGTATGTAATGCTTCTGACCCCTGGTGGTTAAAGCAAGAGGTGCACCACGAACACTCATTTTTTTTTGTCTTTAACAGGGGAAACACACACTCAGTGATTGTACGTCGAAAGCTAGAGTCTCCAGATCCACTGAAGAAGCGTCGAATTCATCGCTGTGACTTCAATGGCTGCAATAAAGTCTATACCAAAAGCTCCCACCTGAAAGCTCATAGACGCACACACACAGGTGAATGGGCTATATATGCAAAGACATTTGTTAATGCACACAATTCATTATGTGACACTCTTTTTTTTTTTTTCAATCTTTTTGTTGGGAAAACATCTTGTGTTTATGAAAAAAGAAAAAGAAAAGTCTTTTATGCTCACCAAAGCTACATTTATTTGATCAAAAATATTGTTAAACAGCTTTTTTATTACTACTTTATTCCTGTGATGCAAAGCTGAATTTTCAGCAGCCTTTACTTCAGTCTTCAGTGTCACATGATCCTTCAGAAATCATTCTAATATGCTGATTTGCTGCTCAATAAAGACTTTTTTTTTATTATCAATGATTATATTTTGTGGAAACCGTGATACACTATCATTTAAAAGTTTGGTGGATTTATTTATTTGTCCTCGTTCAGCAAGGACACATTAAATTGATCAAAAATGACAGTAAATACATTTATAATGTTACAAAAGATTTCTAAATGCTAAATGATTTCTAACTGTTTCATATGTTTTTATCATCAAATAATTTTTTATCTTCTTATTCTACTTATTATTGACCCATATAAAGATGAAAATGCTCATACTCTTACTCTGATACTGTTCATGCGGATGAATAGGCTAAACACTCTTCTAAATGCTCTTCTTTCTCTTTGTGTGACCATTTAGGAGAAAAGCCTTATAAGTGCATGTGGGAAGGCTGTACGTGGAAGTTTGCCCGCTCCGATGAGCTGACCCGTCACTTTCGGAAGCACACGGGTGTAAAGCCGTTCCAGTGCCCTGACTGTGATCGCACCTTCTCTCGCTCCGATCACCTCTCCCTGCACAAGAAGCGCCACATGCTGGTGTGAGCTCAATACTGCAACACGTGAACGGAGCAGAAATTGCACCTTCGATTAAGCCGTTGCTCAACGGGAGCTTCATCTTCAGTGACGCCAAGTGCCGTTTTGTGTTTCCCATCCCCTTCCAGTTCAGGAAACGCTGTGTAATAGAAGAAAAGAATGGAGTTGATGGCTCATACGATGGCTAGCTCATACTTCATGAAAAGAATTAGTATCCAAGTGGATTTTGTCACCATTACTATGGACATGGAGAGTAGTGCTGTGGATATGACCCTTATATAAACAAAATTGAATGCCAAGTCTTTTTTTTTATATCAAGCACTCTCTCTCTCCATTATCTTTCTATACACGTCTCTCTCGTTGTTTTGCCCTCTGCAGGTCAGAGGGCCCATTGTGCAGTTACAGCACTACACAAACAAGCATAATACATTTACAGTTATGTATCTATATCTAGATAGATAGATAGATAGATGATATACTGACAGTCAGTAGCCAGTCACACACACATATACACAAACACAACTCTGACAGTTTCACACTTTTAATGTTGTTTTAAGATGCAACTCGGGTCAAACCTGCACAATGTGAATGTATTTTTCTCTTTTTGTATGTTATTTGGAAACATGAATGTGTATACGCAGATCCTGTATATGCATTCAGCATGTGTGTTTCATGTTTCAGTGTAAGGACCAAAGCTGATTTAAAGCTCATGTATTTTCTGAGATTGTTTGAATTGGGTCAGTCAGTTCACACCAAGAATGATAACTATAAAGATAACTAGATACCATAGCTATAACAGTGTCCACACCAATGCACAATAATGTTCTGTTTATTATAAGCATGCATCGCAGTCATCTGCCACTTTAAATGCTCAAGATCAAGATCTTTAAAGAAGAATGGATTGTGTTTGGCTGTCAGCGATTGTAGAAATCATAAGCTGAAACAAATTTAAACAATATTGTTTCTCTGTAGCGTTATTGTTATATTTGTGGACTCTGTTCTTTTACATTTAGAACTATATCTTTATCGTTATAGTTATCGTCCTAGGTGTAAACGGATCTTTTTTGACTCTTAAAAGAGTTACATTTTGACAAAAAGTTTTTGGTTCCAAAAGTAGCTTTCGAGCACCTGACCTAGTAAAACATTGGCATGTTTTATTAATTGTAATCATGAATTAATACTGTAGTTTATTACCGTAAGTACTATGTACTGTGTAAGTTCTTGCAACTTTGCACATGCACAATTTACAATTTAGTAATGAAATAATAGTAATGATTTGACCCTATACATACATTTTAAAAATACAGGTAGAAAGTGTGAGAGGTCAAAACGGTGTCTTAAATGTTAATAGGCTGGTCTGAAAATTGAACACTTGATCATCCAGCGCATACATGTTAGTTGCAAGGACTTAAAGAAAGCTTAATTTTGCTAAATCTCACCGTTATTCATATTTGAATAATTTCTGTAATCATGAATATTCATATAATCCTAAACATTTTGTTGTGTCGTGTTGTATTTGATCAAATCCAGTGTCCAAGGCTCAAAAGGGTAAAATATTATTTCACTGAGGGGTGTTTAGGTGGAGAAATGTGATAAATGTGAACCATTCAATAAGGGGCATTATTTTATTAGAGTGAGTTCATCTAGGTTATGGGTAACATTGTCTTACTGTTAACACTTTGTTTGTGAAATATTTGTTATATAATTATGGATATATGCAGGGACGAGTGTACTCTTGTTTTTCTGTTTGTAGGTTTTGCAAATCATTTTTTCGTGAACAAATGTTTGTAAAGGGCAATGTGTAAACGGAAACAGTGCACTTTAAAATAGATTTGAAATGGCAGATATCTGTAAATGGGAGCCCATGAATAGCTTTAAGCTTTGGGCTTTATCTCCATATTTTTCTCTTTCTTAGCAGTTCAACAGTTTGTAATAGAATGGTTTCTGTTTTTCTCTTCTCAACTGAAGGACAATTTTGAAGAACATTTTGAAGGAGGAAAAGAACAAGGGGGAGCTTACATAAGAACGGAAAAAGTCCTTAATGAAACAATTGAGATGAGTCAAAGAAAGAAAAAGGATGAAGCATTTGTTTCTTGGTCTGATGTATAAACCACAGCAAAGCTGTACACATCACAGATATTAACTAATCATATAGGATAATGGAAATATTAATATATATATATATATGTGTGTGTTTTTTTTTAATGGAATGACTGAATGGGCAATTTATAGAAAGCATGATTATGATATATTTTTAATCCAAAACAAATATTATATGTTTTTATAAAGATGTGAATCTTCTGTCTTTTCTAAATTACTTATATTTTCACAGTTCAAAGGGAATATTATGCTGTGTCATTATATCAGACTGTGAATTTAATACAAATTGTTCAGACACTTTTTGTATTATATAGATTTAAATATGTATCATTCAATAAACTTTTTATGGTGAATATTTTGTATAAATGTGTTGACATTGTGTTTGATTTTTAATTTAGCCTAACCTAATTGGCAACCTAATTGCTTGACAAATTTAGATGTTCAGTGGCCAGCTGCATAAAATGTTTAGACTATAGGCTAACAAGTTATATAATCTTTTTTTTTTCTTTAAGACTGGTCATAACTGGTCAGATATATAAAAACCTAGATTGGCCTAATTTGAATCTGAAAAACAAGACTCATTAGGGTACCTGCTAGTTGTTCTTAACATAATAACTAAGTTTATGCAACTGGCTCCAGGATTTCCACAGTTCTGAAGTAATTTATAATGTTAATATCATATTTCCGACCTGTTGCGTTCATCAACACATCAAAGATATTAACTAATCATATAGGATAATGGAAATATTAATATATATATATATATGTTTTTTAATGGAATGACTGAATGGGCAATTTATAGAAAGCATGATTATGATATATTTTTAATCCAAAACAAATATTATATGTTTTTATAAAGATGTGAATCTTCTGTCTTTTCTAAATTACTTATATTTTCACAGTTCAAAGGGAATATTATGCTGTGTCATTATATCAGACTGTGAATTTAATACAAATTGTTCAGACACTTTTTGTATTATATAGATTTAAATATGTATCATTCAATAAACTTTTTATGGTGAATATTTTGTATAAATGTGTTGACATTGTGTTTGATTTTTAATTTAGCCTAACCTAATTGGCAACCTAATTGCTTGACAAATTTAGATGTTCAGTGGCCAGCTGCATAAAATGTTTAGACTATAGGCTAACAAGTTATATAATCTTTTTTTTTTTCTTTAAGACTGGTCATAACTGGTCAGATATATAAAAACCTAGATTGGCCTAATTTGAATCTGAAAAACAAGACTCATTAGGGTACCTGCTAGTTGTTCTTAACATAATAACTAAGTTTATGCAACTGGCTCCAGGATTTCCACAGTTCTGAAGTAATTTATAATGTTAATATCATATTTCCGACCTGTTGCGTTCATCAAAACCCAGGGCTCGTCCGGGATTTGAACCCGGGACCTCTCGCACCCTAAGCGAGAATCATACTCCTAGACCAACGAGCCAATTGAGCGAACCAAACTTGTATAACAACTGAAAATATTTAAGGTACACCGTGATTCTCCTATTACCAATGTTTTATTAATATCAGTAGAGTTACAGTGATGTATGTATTTTCTAAGTGTTAGAAAAACCTTTCTCTAATTTTATAATAGATCAGTTATCTCATTACTTCGTTTTCCCACTTGCAAACCCACTATGAAACGCAACGCCACCTTAAAATCCGAGACCAAACCGATTAATACCTCACACTGTCTGAGTTGGTCATTTAGCAGACGCTTTTATCCAAAGCGACTTACAAATGCGGACAATAAGAGCAGTCAAAACTAACAAAAGAGCAACAATATATAAGTGCAAATGTACCACAGTTACAGTTGAGTGTAGCATTTGACTCGAATTTATACGCGAGATGTGACTGGAATTTGTTCCCTGTCTACAAACAAAGTGCCAAAAGTTCAGGTGACGTCACCATCCACAGCCGCACGCGACGCTGCTGCCTGCCGACGTGGCGCGAGCTCGAGCTCGAGCGGAAGGGTTGCACGAGCGCGACTGTCAGCAGAACTGGTAAGAAGGGATGAGCCTATGAATTAACTTTATTCCAGAAGAAATAACACTCGTGTTATGTTTGCCTATGTGTATTTTGCATTTCAGCGTTATGCTTGTATATATAGAGTAACTTTCATTTTTCGCGTTTGTTGTTATTCTTTGGTATCTAACGTTAGTTATTTAGGTGAAATACGTTTGCACTGTCGCCTTTGACGTGCTCGCAGGGTATTTTAAAAACACTTTAACATTCTTCAGATAAATAAGTTACAATAAAAAAGACAAATATAACGGGAAAACGAATAAACGATTTGTAAGCAAACATGGGCGTTTGATTTTAGCTAACGTTATTATAAATGCAGTCTTTAAGGCATCATAAAACTGCATGCGTCTTATTGTTTAGAAACTGTAACGTGTAACCTGAGGTTTATAATCTGCTTTATATACAGTTTCTGTCTGTGTGTATTCATTTACTGAACGTCTATTTACAAACTAAAGTTTGAATGTGGCTGTACGTTTCTAAAATAACCGCTAGATGGCGCTGCAATCCGCATTAAACAAAGGCGCTTGATAGCGCGGCACCATTCAGGGACAGCGCTGGTGCTCTTTAATGTGTCTGAATGCTGTTCTGTCAAAGCTTTTCTGTTCACACACACGTACAATACGGTTTCACTGATGGTATATTCAAGATATGTATTAATAATAATAATAATCACAAGCGTTGTGGGTTTTTATAGCTACAGAGATGATGAATAGTTGCTAAACCCAAATCTAAAACTAACCATAACACAAAACTTTTGACATGATTAGATTAAAAACATCAAATATGATTTAGGTGAATTATAAGCCTTACTTGCACATGTATGTGTGTATTCACATTATGTCGGAAGCTATAGTGTATTTGACCAACCTGACTGCAAATCTTTCTTATTGAAATGCCAGAAATCAAAATATCCCAAAGAAATCCTAATGAAATTCCTGGTGTAATTTGGAAGCAATGTATTGAAAAATTAATCCACTAAAACTTAAATAAGATCCTGCTAGGTTAAAAGAAAAAAAAAAATCAGATTTTCTCGATCAAATTGTTTTTGATCCTTTTAGGATTGATTCCAAATTATTATAGAAATTATATTAGCAACCCATTAGCATTACTCTCCTAAATAATACCCTGTTATTTTGTATGCACTACAACAAGCCAATTTATATCTGCATTTTTGAGAAATGAGTCTCTCTGAGCAACATATTTTTATAATGTGACTTGATATTTCACAAGAGCAACATCATTTTTTCTTTTCACTGTTTTCCTAATCATCTGTGTCACTGCTCGATTTTTGTTTATTTTGCAAACCTTAGTCAGAGCTCAACTGTCTAGTCAGAAGTTAGTTTGTTGTCAATCACAGCCAGTCATGGCCAGCTGTTTGCATTGCCTGTCATTACACTGTCTTTGTTTATCTATTTTTTATCAGAGCACCATGTCGCAAGATGAGACCGTGGAAGACCTCATTACAAAACCTCCCCCTTCCC